TATGGTGTTTTGGAGTGTGTTATTTGTATAGTTTTCTCAGTGGCTGGATGTTACATATGTACATGGCTGTATGCTATCAACGTTTTCCAATCTGAGTGAAAACTTACTCCCATTTAGGTGCCCATATTCTCCCATTTTTAATTAACATTGTCTTGGTATCAGAGGGCATTATACATTTTGCGCCAACTCATATAATTTAGAAAACTCATAAGGAGAAGAATTGTCTTTTGTATTTACCTATATATCTGCTTTCTCCCTTGTTCTTTCCTTTTTCCTGATGATCTGAAATTCTTTCCTTTAATTGAAATTCTTTCCTTTCTTTGTAAGAACTTTATCCATTTTTTTTTGCAGTTTTTGGCTGGGGCTGGGTTTAAACCCGCCACCCCTGGTATATGGGGCCAGTGCCCTACTTCTTTGAGTCACAGGTGCTGCCCCCACTTTATCCATTCTTTAAAAGTAGAACTGTGCATGACAGATTTCCTTTCTCTGAGAACGTCTTTATTTCCCCTTCATTTCTAATACACAGTTTCCCTGGATATAGAACTTGGAGCTGACAGTTCTTTTCTGTCAGCACCGGAAAAATGTTGTGTGACTTCCTTCTGACCTTTCTGGCTTCCGATGAGAAACAAGCTGCCTTTCAAACAGTCTGCCCCTAGCGGTAAGGTGCTGGTTTCTCTCTCACTGCTTTCCAGATATTTTCTTTGTGTTTTGTTTTCAGGAGTTCAGTTAGGATGTCCCTTGGCATGGATTGCTTTGGGTCCATCCTACTGATGTTCTCTCAGCTTCTTAAATCTGTGGGGAGGTGTTTTTTGCCAAGTCTGGGGAATTTTCAGTCATTACTCCTTTGAGTACTCTTTAGTCCCATTCTTTGCCTCCTCCCCTTTTGGGACTCCAATGCTACAAATATTGGCTCTTTTGTTACTGCCCCACAGGTTTGAAACTCTGTTTTCAGTTTATTTTCTTTGTCATTCTGATCGTGTACATTTATTGCTCTGTCCTCAATTGCACGGATTCTATCCTCTGTCATTCCCACTCTACCAGGAAGCTTATCCAATTAGTTTTGTTATTTCTGTTATTTTTCAGTTCTATAATTTCCATTTAGTTCTTTTTAAAATATTTTTTTTTTTTGCTGAGACTTTCTATTTTTTGCTTGTTTCAAGAGAATTTATAACTGCTTATTGAATTTTGGGGGGATAGTGATTACTTTAAAATACTTGTCAGATAATTCCAATCTCATATGGGAGTCAGATGATTGTTTTTTTCTTATTCAAGTTGTAATTTTCTTGGCTCTTTGCATAGTGGGTGATTTTGATCATATCTGAATATGTTGGCTATTATGTTGATAGATTCTGAGTCCTTGGTTATTTGTGGATTCCGAGTCCTGTTTAAATTTTTCATTTTAACAGGCGGTCACCCCATTTAGGTTTAGCTTGCAGGCCTAGCCTACTTTTGCAGGTGGTGTCAATGACAATCTAATTTTCAGAGCCTTTATATCCTTCTGTGGCCACCTTGCTTTGTCTCCTGCCCCTGAGGCTCCCACAGGTCCTTGTTGGTCGTAGTCAAAGAGCAGAAAGGAGTTTCCCCAGCTGGGGTGCCTGGTGCCTTTAGAAGGGAGTCTCCAGCCTACAGGGACAAAAGCACTTCCTGGGTTGGATGCTGATTGTGGTGAAATTCTCCAGGTCAGAGAGGGAAATCTCAGGGCAGGGGGCAAGGAGAGTACTCCCCCAGAATGATTATCATTTGGGGGGGACTTTGTGTCTCAGGGTGGGGGGCAAGGAGAGCACTCCCCTAGGCTGATTATCATTTGGGGGGGACTTTCAGTCTCAGGGTGGGGGGTAAGGAGAGCACTCC